AATAGCGGTGGTTTTGTTTGTTAACTTCACCATTCACATAAAAGTTTGTCTCATCACTGAACAAAATCTTCTGCGTGAACTGAGGGTCCTGTTCCAATTTTTGTTTTGCCCATTCTGCAAATTCTGTGCGCTGATCTGGGTCATCCTCGTTGAGATGCTGCAGTAGCTGGAGTTTGTAAGGGTGCCATTTCCATCCATCCATCCAATATCTGCCGAAGGGATGTTCGACTAATGCCACTCTCCAGTGACGTGCGGCGAGTGCTATGCTGTGGGCTCTTGCTGAATGAAGCTAGGACAGCCACTGATGTTTCTTCATTAGTGACAGTTTTCTTGCGTCCACATATTGGGCAAATCCAACACTGAACCAGTTTCACAAAACTTAGCAAGCAGTTTGCTAACTGTAGCATGGGAGATGGGTGGTCTCGTAGGGTGTCTTGCATTGAAATCTGCTGCAATGACCCGGTTACTGCGTTCACCAGATATCAACACAATTTTGATCCGCTCCTCACGTGTTAACCTCTTTGACATGTCAATGGCTGTGAACAAAGAGAAACTTGTAAATAACTCATGGAATAATAAAGTTGCGTTGAAACGTTATTTACGTTGTTATTTTGGTTAGTAATGTTCTTGCTGTGCCATAACATCTCATTGGTGATCTCAATGGCATGCAGGCTGTTATTGAAGTAAATGGGCAGAGTTGGAGATCATCTGCAGAAGGTTTTGGTGCCGTCACATTATATTAGCAAACCTTGAGAATGAAATTGTATATAATGGGCATAAAGCCTGTTCTATGAGCACAATGCTCAACAACAAGTCTTTGTCTACTTGGCTGCTGAATCTTAACAGGCTTGCATGCACCGAGCACTCTTCATTGGTGGAACAGTAATTAATAATTCAAGATGAAAGTACTATAAATGCATGATGCCTCAATGACACTTAATGATATAATTTTGTGTGTGTGTAGGTAGTGGACAGCAGTCTGTAACTGGAGTGGAGAACGCAGATGATGCCAACAGCTACTGGCAGATTCGTGGGAAGCCCAACAATCCATGTCTGCGTGGTGCTCCCATCAAATGTGGCCAGGCCATTCGCATCACACACATGAAGACTGGACGAAACCTCCACACACACCACTTCAGCTCTCCTCTGTCTAATAACCAGGTCAGACACACACAACTGTTTCTCTTGCTCTTTTAAACACATGTGGATGTTCACCAGGGTACAAATGCTTCCCTTCTCCTCTGCACCATCCACAGGAGGTGAGTGCTTTCGGAGAGAACGGCGAGGGTGACAACCTGGACGTGTGGACGGTTCAGTGTGAAGGCATTCACTGGGAGCGCGACGAGGCTGTGCGCTTCAAACACGTGGGCACCGACGTCTTCCTGAGTGTGACGGGCGAACAGTACGGCCACCCCATACGTGGACAGCGGGAGGTGCACGGCATGAGCTCCCCCAATCAGCACAACTGGTGGCGTACTATGGAGGGCGTCTTCATCCAGCCCAGCCAGGAACCGCTGCGCCACGATGAACTCTGACATCATCATCATCATCATCATCATCATCATTAGGAGACATGAGCATGGACATGCTTCTGCCTGGACCTGATGTATGACTTGACTGAGAAATCTTTTCTATGTGAAGCACTCGGGGTGTTTTGTGACATGAAGGGGGTTGGCAGGCATTATTTGTGTGTACGTAGTGTAGCCTCAATATGTTCTTTCAGCTTCTTCCTTGGAGAATGTGATGAGGGATAACATTGAGCCAGGGGAGATGCATGAGGATGGCTATAGTCCTGAAGAAAACTATAATTTGATTAATTTTGTCCAGAAATACATAATGACATGTACTGTATGTAATAAAGCCTTTCTTTATTTCATATTTGGTGTATATAGGTGTAATTAGAGCACACTTCACTGTCTGTCTTTTCGCCACTGTTCCTGTGTTTGCAAGGTTATGGTATCTGGATTCTTTGCTGAGCTTATCTAAGCTTAGCAGATTGTCTAGGTGTCTCCTGCTACCTTAACTCTAGCTGCTGCATTGGGATTGGCACAACACAAGACTGGCTCCATTATTGATCCTGTCAGCCTTTCTGTTTACACTGCAGTGTACAACCTGCCAGACTCACAAGGTGGCAGAATACTCCACCTCAGTGCTGAGTCCAATTACAATGCTTGGTTATATATTGTAATGTGTAACAGTTGATTGTTTTACTGTGCTTTGTAGAGTGTTGCAATGGAGGAAAACCCGTATCTTGTGACCCCGTAGTCCCCGTAGCACAATTTTGGAGATCTTTCACAAAGTGACCACAAGCACTCTGCTCACTGTGAGTTTTCTACTGTGGCTCAGGAGGTAGAGCACTCAGCATGCCAAAAATCACTGGGCAAGATACTAACCCTAAGTTGCAGTATGAAAGTGCGTGAATGTTAGAAAGCGCACTCTAGTTTTTTCATAAAGGCAAACTTTAAGAATGGCTCTGTGATGGAGATCAGGGAGTCTTCATATATCCCAGCATAGCAGCCTTTGATACTCGAGTAATTAACATAATTTTATAATTTTAATTAGCCATTCATCTTAAATAGTAGCCTAAGTGAGGAACACGAGTCATTATGTTGTGTATTCATTCAGCATATTTAACAAATTCAGTAATACTGAAGCTCCAGTTTTTCAGTGCTGTCAGCAGATGTACTGTGCTCCATCCGTCAACAACCACCTCTGCTATATTAAGTAAAAACACAAAAGGACCAGCAAAATGATGAATGGATTGAACAGTGGAATGACATCAGTTTTATTATTAAATGTTAAAATATGGAAGATGATGGTAAACACTACTGCTTTTCGCTCTCTCATTTGTTACGTCCTCAGGCTAGTCTAGGGGTTAGAAGGGACCAACATAAAGGTAAATAGTGAAGGAGGAGCCAAGATGGTAAGTTAAAAGGTTTATTTCTTGCTAGAAATTCTAATTCAGTTCTAGTTCAGACTGAGGGTTAACTTCAGGGAGAGGTGAGACCAACATAGCAAACAAAACATCCCTGATATGAAAATAAAAGGAACTTACCTAACACAAAGAAAACAAAATATACAACCTGTAACAAGTGCCACCTGGCAGTTTGTTGCTCTCTGCCAGGTGATTGGCTGAAGAGCTTTGAAAAGGTAGTGAGTGTGTGGGGTGAGGTCAGTGCTCTTCTGTGGAAAAAAACAGGTGATTAATTCACTCGGGTGCGAGTGGGTATATTGTCGTATGACCACGAGTTTTAATAGAAGAATTGATCAAGCCCTAGATTGACTGCACGCAGGGAAACTGATCAATATTCTGTGCTGTCTCTGCTGTCCTTTTTCATCCTTTTGATTGATTTGTAATTTTGTTTTGGTTAGTCCGTCCAGCCGTAAAGGGGGTTATTGATTGGGAGTGAGTGTGTTGTGTAAGGGTGGACTAACCTCCCTTTTTGTTTTTTGTTTGTGCCACTTCCCTTTATATCCCAGATTGCAGGTCATGCATTCCCAGCTGTGCTGAGACCCGAATTGTTTGCAGTGCGTGCCACAGGTAAATCGATTGCAGTGTCACTAAACGGGGTGTGATGGTTTGCAGTGTTGTGTTATTTTTTGCACCGTTTGTGTGGTAAGTCTCATGTGTAGCTGGGATATCAGCAGGATGTGTTTTAAGTTCTGTCTGGAAATAACTGGGAAATTGTATGTTTAATTAATGTAATAAATTATCAATTTATTTCCTTGCCCCTTTTACTCGTACCTTGTCCTCGGTTACAAACCTATAACCTACCTAACATCACATAAACAGGAGAAAACAGGGAATCAAAACAAAAGGCAGCTCTCCCCTACAAGCAGTCTGAACTCAGAAACACAAAATGCACATACAAGTCAAAAAGGCATGCAAGCCTGCACAGGTACAGCAATCAAAATGGCCAGGGGGCCCAGAAACACAGCTCCACAGGCATTAAGTAGTGCTCTGCTGATTGGCAATTAGGTGGATTCTGTGAGCAGCATCCAATCAGGACAGAGGAGGTGGAACCTAGACAGAACATAGGGCATTAGTTCATAAAGGAAAACCAACATCCTCCTGAACACACTTTCAATGGAATCTCATTGAAGTTTGGCCTTTAACAGTGTAGGGCATAGGTGTCAAACTCTGGCCCGTGGGCCAAATTTGGCCCGCGAAGCCATACCAAATTACTATTAGAGCTGGCCTACTGGTATTTTACAGCTAATATATATATTGTTTAGTATTAAGCTTTGCTTGTTCCATATTCAGTTTTTCAGCAAAACGTGTTTGAGTCCATAAGAAAAGATTCATTCTTATATCTGGAGGAATAAATATATTTCAATAAATATTAATGTTAGCCTGCAACTTTGTTCCAATTTTGAATTTTGGCCCACTGTGTATTTGAGTTTGACACCCCTGGTGTAGGGTATACCCTAACAGCTGTAGACTAAGAGCTGATTTAGGCTTCTGCAGGGACTCTGTAGAGACTCCCACATAACCTATATTATGTACAGCAATTGTTGCTTTTTGTTTACTTTGTATGGAAAAAGGTTTGCAACTTGTGCAGAAGTTCTCTTGTGCAGTCCTCTGAAAATACAACACCTCAGTCTTATCAGAAGAGTTTTTGGTTATATCAAAAGTATATAGATTCTCCTTTGGCTTCCTGTCATTTATCTGAATTGCAGTGATGTAGTAGTCGCAGAATGTTGTTTTTTACTGCAGTGAACAAGCTGCATCTTTCTATATAAATTAAAGCACATTGCTGATAGGTCACCAAGCAACTGGAACATCACAATGATTTGAATTTAGTAAATCTATCCCATAGCACATAAAAATTAAATCAATCTTATTTTCTTATATTTTACTCTTGTGAACCAAAGTCATTTCTCATCTCATGTCCTCCTCCTTGTTAAGGATTAGGGGGAGGAAATTCCATGATCTGTGCAATTGTATTATACAGATTGTTTGTATGCCAGTGATCCATTACAATAATTTATGGGACAGCGTTTTCTCCTCCTCTTTCATAAATGGTGCTCCAGTGTTTCCTATACAAATGGAAGCGCTGAAGCTCCTTTATTTTGTATTTAAAGAATAGAGATAGAGAAACAGCTCTTATTATTGCTACCACACAGATACCTCTGGCTCACCTTTCTCTCACTTAGGAACCTTCTGAAGCAAAATGGACTGTGTAAAAAAAGTAAGTGGAAATGCATATGAGGGTTTGAAGGGACTGAACAGGCCGATCCCAATAGTTGCCACTGGATCAGTGTGACATGGTTACCTTTCCAGGGAGGTGTCCGTTGGGAATACAGTAGGTTATTTCAGAGTGGTTTGTGGTTGTGATGTACAAATGATGCAGATTTAACACTGAAGTATGAATGCACAATGAAATCTTCTCAAGAAGAAGGTATTCATTGTCTGCAGTTGCTTTTAGTTTTTCAGTTGTTTGTCTCTATGGCCACAGTTATCAAATGGACTGGTTCCTATATTTTCTAGTCTGAGCACTCCCCAAAAGTTGAGTCTCTTCATCTGGATGCAGTATTTTCAGTGGAGCGTTTCGTCACTCGTCCAAGTCACTTCCTCAGTCTCCGCAGACTGCAAGTTTCCCAAACCTTATAAACAGTACATTTGCATAATGACTGACTTTGCATAATGACTAGCACCACTGAAGGAACAATGGGCTTGGAATTGAGTTCCTTGATCATTAATATGCAAATTCTTATGACATCAACAACCACTGATCAAAGACCACTGATCAATGGCCATGAGTACCATATACAGAGAGTTGGGGAATGGCTGCAATTACAGCATTGTAAGATGGTGACAGATGTACCCTTAGGCCCCCTCCTTGATTCAGAGATGGTCTTTCCCTTTTCACGTAAATGGCCTCTTTGACTCCCTGCTCAAACCAACGTTCCTCCCTGTACAGGATCTGTACATCCTTATCGCTGAAAGAGTGTCCACTGTAGGTGTAAATTGAGTGAGTCCTAGCCTGACGAGTTGGCTGTTCTGTGTTCTGCCGTCCACTTTGCCAGAGGTTGTTTGGTTTCCCTAATGTATGGCAGTCCCCCTGGCACTTAACAGTGTACACTATATTACTCTCTTTGTGTCGGGGGACCCGATTCTTGCGGTGGACCAATTTTTGGCACAGCGTGTTTTGGGGTTTAAAAGCCACAGAGATGCAGTGTTTAGAAAAAATGCGTCTCAACTGTTCCAATACTCTTGACACATACGGGATTACTAGGTTTTTGTTTAGGCAGCAGTTGTCCTTCTCTCCTGGATCGGCTGGAGCTTTCTTTAAGTGTCTTTAGGTGTCAAATAAACAATCTTGAATCTTCCCAGCTTTAACAAATGTCCAGCTGGGATAACCACATTTATTCAGGGCCTTCTTAATGTGATGTTCTTCTGCTTCCCTGGCCGCTGTGTCTGTGGGGATGGTGTTCGCTCTGTGTTGTAGCGTCCTCATGACACTCAGTCTATGCTCCAGTAGATGATGAGAGTCAAACCTTAAATACGTATGCGTAGGTTTATGGTACACATCAACTTTTAGATGTCCCCCATTACTGATGGAAATCTCAGTCTAAGAATGCTAACCTGTCACTTTTCAAATCCTCTCTGGTGAATTTGATGTGTTGGTCCACTGAGTTAATTTGATCTGTGAATTTTGGTAAGTCCTGAGACTTGATTTTCACCCAGGTGTCATCCACATACCTAAACCAATGACTTGGTGGTGTTCCAGGGTAGGATAACAAAGCCCTCTTTTCCACTTCTTCGATGGCCTGTACCAGCAATGCAAAACCCCAGCATCCAACATCAGCACAGAGGAGACGAAGGCACTCATAAGTAGTCCTGGACTCAGCAGCTCCACAGTAGTTTTTCAGTTGCACATACAGCTAATTTTCAAATTCAGCACCTTGATCATGATGCGCTCGTGCTGGAAAGCCAAATCTTAGAGCATAGTCATGAAAGATTTTGCATGCAGCAGTTTTACCTGATTTGGAAGTTGTAGCCTGGGCAAAGAGTGTAAAATGGTCAATGACTACAATAATGTATTCATAACTGGCCTTGCACTTTTCAAGGTGTGGGAAATCAATTGAGATGAGTTCAAAAGGTTGAGTAGTGACAATATTAGTCAGTGGAGCTCTG